AGCATTCCCTGATTTAGTGTTTGCGGTGACTTTATGGAATGTAACTACTGTGAATAACAAGGATCGGCTGCATTGGGAAAAGAGTATTCTAAGATTTAGAGCTGAGTGACAGTAGAAGTGGAAATTGCTTGTTTTGGGACTATAAACTTCTGGGGCCCGAAGGTCACCAGGTGGAATTCCCACAGCTCTCCCATTTCCAATTCCATATTTTCACGGATGGATAATTTATAAAAGGTAGAATTGACATACATTACAGAAAATCTACTGAGATTATATGAATGAATGGCAAAATTATGTCACAAAGCTTAGCGATTTTCTTAAGAATGAGACATCTGGTGGCTAAAGATAGTCATTTCTTTCGAGAGGAGGAAGTGGGGAAAAAGAAATCGTCGTAGAGAACCAAGCAGAGCTTTCTCACCACTGGCCGGTGGACATCCCAAAAAGCCCGTTCTTGACTATCCAAAATTTTTCTTTCCGTCTTGTCCTTTTTCCGATCAATCCTGAAAGCATAAAAGAAGGAAAGCAAAGGCTTTTGTATTGTTTTTCCTCTGGCCCTTGCCCCAGCTTTCTGCTCCTGTTTCTTGAGCTACAGCACACAGGGCAACTGACACTTGTGTAGTCCCTGCTCTGTGCAGAGCTGTAAAATATGAGTGGACAATGCCCTCAAGGAAATCTCAAGAAGTCCACATGTGGTGAGAGACCTTCTTTTAGGTTAGATTGCAAATTACTGTAGACGTGTCATGAACCTGGCAGGCCTAAGGAGAGCACAAGAATGCAACTGTGTATTTGCATGATTAAGATATGGATTATTAAGAACCGAATCATTCATGATACGTCCCCATCAAAGTGGATACCGTGTACTCGAATCATAGGAAGGAATATAACCACAGGCTTTTAGTGTTTCGTCCTCAAATCTGAAAGTTTTCTTTGGATTCAGAGTCAGTAGAAATGCCTTCAAATGCTGCAATTACATGTTTTAAGAGTCACTTAAGCCATCTGGCTTTCTAAAAGCAGAGTAATAGTCCTGGCGTGTGACAAGATTCAGGAGGCAAGTATCACTGGCCTCAGCTGGGGGAGGCACAAATTGGAAGAGGGAAATTACAGATGACAAAGACAGATTCTTTATGGTCTGATCAGGAGCACAGATTAGAGCCTTTAAAATTAAAAAGTCTGTATTACTTCACATTATCTCTTTAAGTAAAAAGTAACTCAGATTAATTGCCATGTAACTTCTGGTTCTTGGCTCTCTTGGGAGCACTTTAGTTTACTGGACTGAAATAAACCCATAATCGCCCTGTGATTTTTGTGATAATTACTGCGTACTTAAATGGCCCACAATTATAATGTAATCATGGAGTTAATCAAAAAAGTTAATCAAGAAATACCATATATGTTCAAAGTGACAATCTCCCCTCCTTTTATAACATGCGATGCTGTGTGATTCTAAAAGTACAAATTATCACTCTTTTTTGCTTCCAGTGGCATGAGTACACGGGCTCAATTCTGCCTCCTTCTCGCCTACTCACTCACCCTCCTGCTTTCTCCTTCCTCAGGGGCCAGGCCTCCTTCTGCTACAGCTCAGCACCCAGTGCCCTGGGCCCACCTCCCTCAGCAAGGGGAGCAAGGGGGTGGACAGCAGGTAGCTGCAATCACGGGTAGAGGAAAAGCGGAGACTGCCCAGGAAGAGTGAGAACCATGGCATCGTGCAGGTCTCTGGACCCAATGACCTCGAGTCATTTTAAACTATGACCACACCTGTGATCAGTGCTCACCCACACAGCCTGAAACTCAGCCCTAGGCCATGGGCTGCAACACTGCTCAGGTAATGCAAAGGGGGTCCTCTGAAAACCCACGGGGGTTCTGCTCAGGTCCAAGTGGTACCCAGAGAAAAGACTGACCTCCCGGCTCAGCATCCCTTTCCTTCCCCACATCTGTCCCATTTCTGTTAACACTCCTGGCTAAACCAGAGACCGCTTCTGGAAAGGACAAGAAGGAACCCAACCTGAGCAAGTCCATTTCCCAGAATCAAAAGGATCTGGTCGACAGCCATGTTTGTGGGCTGGGGTACACATACTGCCCGCTTCTTATGTTTCCTTGGAGGAGGAAATTTCCACTATACTCCCTAAGAGGGAAAAATATGGAGAAAACACTCCAACTTTTCTCCTTCTGTCATCTCTTGTCCTCCAGGGGAGAAGAGCATTTTAATTTATATGAGGATTTGAAAGAAGATATTGAGAAAGCTCAGGTTGATCCTTTCTGAACGCCTGTTCTCTGCATGTAGTAAGCTTACAGGGGTCAACTCTGCACAAGGTGGTGGTGGCGGGGGGATGGTGCGAGGCTGCAGAAATCTAGCTCTGCCCGCGATGGATAACTTTAATTCCAGGGTTAACATCTGTGGTCACGGATCCAAAGTCATGTGCTATCATCTAGCTTTTATCAGTAACAATCTGACATTTTGGACTCCAAATGTCTGAATCTATGCTTTATTTCAGATTGGTTCTGAAACTCTCCAGGGTGAGGGTGGGGTAGGGGTGACTTGTTGGCCTCCCTCAAATGCCACCATGTTTTCCTATGAAGACAAAACCTCCAAAGCTACATGGTCTGATGTTTATCAGCCTCTGAACACAGAAGAATAATTGGACATCTCTTTGGAAAATAGGTATGTCTTCTTATAACCAGAGTTGTACATTTTGGAAGAATCCCATTGCCTGCTAGAACACACACTTTTGAAATTATTTTAGAGTGACATTGGTTACAAAGATGAAACATCCATGTTGATCTTGCTTTCTACTCAGTTGCTCCCATGAGAGATGACAGTGACTAACCACAGCTGGCCGTCTGCAGAAGGCAACCCCGCTTTGGCAATCCCACAATCACACTACTTCCAAATTCCAGAGACTTTTTCTCTTTGCAAGTGTCTCTATTAAGTTCACCTACTTTACTTGTGCTTCTGCTTGCATAAAGATGAATTCCCACTTCCTTGCAAAGGCCCTCTGAAGTCTTGCTAAGTTTTCCTAATGGGATATAAAAATGAATGAGAAGGGATTCATCATTATAAGTTTGCACATCAACACTTATGCTTATTATAAGGCAGTCATCTATTTTGGTTACTTCCAACAAAATAGTTGGGCTCTACTTTAAATCCACTGGACATGAACCCAATTTGACTTTGTACCAGACTCTGCGGTACAGAGCAGAACTATTAATATTCATTTACACACCCATTAAGTCTGAAGTCCCTTTGGTTCAACCGATTCCTCTCTTCTGTGTGTTTTAGAAGAACACAACTCTCACTTGTCATAAAGGCTATTGAAGATAGGGAGAATCATTTGTGGCTATGCATGCAGGATTTGGGGAAGGGACAAAGGGGTCTTCGCAACCTACTGGACCCTTCAAGAGCAAAGCTAAGAATGGCTTTCTGAAGGCTCAGCTTCCATCAGGAGTCTTAGAAGGGGGCAGGAAAGGAGAAACCTGAGGATCTGGCATTCATGTCTTTGAAAGTCCAGATTCAATAGTGGAAAAAGAGGGAGTGTCTATGTTTGTGATGTTCATGAAAGGAAAACCCAAAAATAGAAAGAAAGAAAATGCATTCAGAAGAAGAGGGGAGAAGCCTTTTCTCTAACTCTGTAAACTTACCTAGTGGCACAACAGGACAGTGAGGAGGGGTGTTTGACAGGTCCCCTAATGATCTGCCTAATTCTGATGGAATGTAAGGCTGGAGCCCACAGTATGCTATGTATTTTCATAGAGCTCATGCCAACAATAATTGATTACCCTCATCAGTGGATTATTAATATAAAAGGAACTTCAGTCGAAGATCAACACATTAAACTTAGTTATTGCCAAGGCTTGGTGTATAAGTACCTCCAAAAAATTGTTCTTTTATTCTTCCACTCTTTATAAGAAGCAAAGCTGGTAATGCCTAAATGCCAGTCAACTGGGGAGTAGTTATATAAATTATGACAGTCATGCCATGGAATACTAGGTAGCCATTAAAGATAATAATGTAGATTATTATTGGTGACATGGAAATATTCCCAACATACTTACAGTATAAGATGGGAGGTGGGGAAGCAGTTTACACAATAATGTTTACAGTATGATTCAAGTTTTTTTTTGTAAAGAAAAAATGTATGTACAGAAAAAAGCTTAGTGGAGAAGGACTGCGGGTTATTGTCTCTCCTTTCTTTGCTGTTTGGATTTGTTTTTACAGAGAATATGTAATCAGAAAAAATTAATAAAATTACTGTATTTGAAAACAAAATACCTCTTTTAGTTTCTGACCACTTTTAGGCAAAACTTCGACCTCAAAGATCATTTTAATGCCATATTCTTTACAAATACCAAAGCAGGACACACTATGGCAATAGACGAGAAACCTGAATAAAACAGGAGTTGATGCTGTCTTGTTTCTACTTAGAACCTTCTCTAAAACATGGAAAATACAGGGAAGAGAGATGGAGGATGGAGGGTCTACGTACTTCTGCCGTCTGGGTCTTTCCTACAGGTTGTGTTAGGTAAAGGATGTAGTCAGGTCGAAGTTAAAGCACTTTGCACCAGATGCACAAAGGGTGAGATAGCAGTCTTCTGAGAGGGGTGGCTGCAGGCGTGTAAGGGCAGACGGGTGGCAGGGACTGGGTACCCGGGATGCTCAGCTCTACAGAACAGCCATGCCAGGGTTTGCTTGGGACGATCATGGTTCAGCATATTTGTTTAATGGCTCCCACTGAGAAGCAAACTTTAGCCAGGCTCCTGCATTGAATCCTCCTCCCCTGTCTTCCTCCATGCACAGGTCCTGTGATGCCCATGGGATCAAAGGGGGTGGGGGACCGTGCACTGGTCCTGCTCTCCGATGGCATGCACATTCCCCTTGGACGATAGAGAAGGGAATGATAGCTCAGTAGGTTGGTTGGCTTGGGCACAGGCGCCCAAGAGTGACGAGGTCTGGTGGAGTGGGACCTCATGCTTATTTTGGAAGACTAAGATAGCGAAATCAGGAGGGGCATTTGGAAGGCAGGTGGATTTGAAGGAGCTGTTAATCCTGGATTATCCAGAGAAGGATATTTCACTCTCCTTAATGTTGACCCTCCTCCTAGCTGCTGACCCTCAATCATTTCATGGCTCAGCAGCATTTTCTAAAATTAAAAATGTTAAAAAAATTTTCTCTGAGTCCTCAAGTTCTCTGAGCCTTGGCTCTGTTAAATGGGAAAGGATATGAGTGTGGTGGTGGGGCCTCCAATTCTTGCAAGGAATCATGTGTTGTGAAGGTGGAGGGGGGAGGCAAGCTGGGAAAGTATATACCTCATATGTTATGCATCTATTTTATCTTCGGGATTGAATTTGGTCTTCAGATTCTGCCTCTACTGCCAAGCACAGGTGAATGTAATTTTAAAAATTATCATATATTAAATTTAAGAAATTATTATGTAGTAAATTCTCTTTTTTCCCCTTTTGGCATACAGTTCCGTGAATTTTAACATATGTATATGTCATATAATTAACACCACAATCAGGATACAGAATACTTCCATCACCTCCCAAAACTCTCTCAGGCTATCTCTTTATAGCTACATCCTACCTCTACTCATAACTGCTGGCAACCACTGACCTGTTTTCCTTCATGATAGTCTTGTATTTAGAAGAATGTCACATAGATAGAATCATACATTTTGTAATCCTTTGAAACTGGCTTCTTTTATCCAATATAATGTCTTTGCTGCTCATCCAAGTGTGCATGTATTAATAGTTTGTTCCTTTTCACTGCAGAGTAGTATTCCACCGAAAGGATATACCAGTGTTTGTTTAAACATTCACCTGTTAAAGTGCATTTGGGTTGTTTTTGGCTTTTGATTATCACAAATAAAACTGCTACACACATTAGTGTATAGGTTTTAGTGTGAACATAAATTCTGAACTCTCTAGTGGGATTGTTTGGTTATATGGTAAGTGTATATTTAACTTTATAAGAAACTGCCAAACCATTTTCCAGAGTGGCTGTACCATTTTGCATTCCCAACAGCATTGTAGGAGAGTTCTAGTTGCTCACCATATCCTCACCAGCACTTGGCATTATCGGTATCTTTTATTTTAGCTATTCTAATAAGGGCGTATTAGTATCTCAGCATGGATTTAATCTGTATTCCCTAACGGCTAATGATGTTGAACGTCTTTTCATGTGTTTATATGTCATCCTATGTCCTCTTTGGTGAAGTGTCTGTTCAAATACTTTGCCCATTTTTAAGTCGAGTCGTTTTTTATTTCTGAGTTTTGAGAGTCCTTTATATAAAGATATAATTTTATTGTGATGGTAAGAGGAGCTGAGAACAAAGGAGAGGAAATAGAGGGCACTTCCTTTCCACTGTCTGAAAGGGTTTGGGGAGCGAAAAAGGGAAAAATGTGAGTTAAGACAGAGTTGTAGATATGTTTTCACTCTCCTCCCACACCTATCCTAGAAAAGAATCATACTTACTGCTTCGTAGTCTGCCAATTCCAGCCTTGCTTTATTCTGCATTGTCCTCTTACAGAGATAAATGGCTGAGGGAAGAAGAGAAATCACAACACATACAAAACCAGCAGTGTGGTGGAATTATAAATGCATCCATTCATCTGTCCATCCACTCATCCATCCAGCCAGCCAGCCAGATCAGCTGGCTAAGTGCCCAGCACTGTGCTGTGAAGAATATGTTTCTATGTGGAGGCCACGACACCTGACCTCTCGGAATCTTTCTGCAGGTCAGGAACAAATGAGAAACCCATCTTCCAATCCTGACAACTCCCCTTCATCTTTCTAATTCTGCTTCACCCCAAACATCCTTTAGCAAGGTGATCTTTCTCAAATATGAGCATGTTACTCTCTTGCCTAAATGCCCTGCATTGACTCCTCAGTGACCTCAGGAGAAAGGCTGGGCTCCTTAAGGTAGCATGTTTGGTTCTTTAAGATTCAGTCTTTGCTTATCTCAGCAACCCCTTCTTTTCTGTGCTCAGGCAAGCGAGACTACTCAAACCCTTTCAGCTCCACTCCTTTGCATATGTGTTTGCTGTATGGAAGGCCTTTCCTCTTCTCTCTTCTTCCCCTCTATCTGGCAACCACCTACTAATCTTTGAAGACCCAGCTTGGTGGTACAGATAGCTTGCTGTTGCATCTATCTATCCTCAACCATGGAACCTAATTCCAGTGAACTGTAACTGTGGATCTACTAGACTGTCCCTTGTTCTAGGATGAAGGCTCTTCAAGGGCAGAGGCTATGCCCTACTCACCTCCAATCCCAGTACCTAGCACTGGGGCATGGCCTGCCAGATGAAGAGAATGGACAGTGAAAAGGGCGGACAATTTAGGTCCCTCTTCCCCAGCTAAGGACGTGTTCTTGAACCTTGTTTGCTAGGACTTTCTTTCTCACACATGGCCTTCATTACTTCCTCTTCCTACTTCTGCTCCTTCAGTATCTCTACTTCTCCAGTGCCACACAGACTGATCCAAGGGAGACAATAGATAAATAAACAATAGAATGACTTGGAGGGAAGGTCAGAGAGCATCCAACTGTTGTTTGACAACTTAAGCACACTAGGATATCTACTTAACTTCTTTCTGGATTAACAAACCTACACCATGTTGTCTGAAAAATTTACTGATGGCAACCTATGATACTTGCAGCTAGGAGCCTACCCTGGTGTAGGCTAGAGTAGAAGCCCACACTTTGCATACACCAGTCGAGTTGCATGTAGATGAGAGTCAGTTGTATTTGTTCTCAAATCTGTTTATGTTAGGCACACCTGTTATTTTAATAACATAAGTTCATCATAATGTAAGTAAATATTACATACATTGATGCAATTAATTGAAAAGAGAGTTGTTTCTATGAAGACACAGTTGAATGGTTTGAAAACAACTTGATAAAGGAGAGTTGGCTAAGACAATTGCTGATGACTTTGGTACAGGTGAGATAACTGAAAAAAATGGGAAAAATAATAAAAATTTCAAATGGGTCAACATACAGTTTGCTTCAAAAAAGTGTTTTTAAATTCTTGATGCGCTTTAAAGATGCCCAAAATGGATGGTTTATTCTGAATATGGTTTATTTAAGAAAGAAACTCAAATTATTGGGACCCACAATCAAAGAGACTCTTTGGTCCTACCTTAAAAGGCTGCCAAATGAATGTTCCTTTGTATATCACTCATTAACATGAAATGATTAAGATATGTACATATCATTTTTCATGATTCTCTACTTACCAACTTTTCCAATGAACCAAGTAACTACACCTCTCCATTGTGTCGGTAAAGAAGTGTTTTCTCTATTACAAGGTACATCTCAGTCTCTTGGACCACCAGCTACGCAGCCTGTGGAATTGGGGCAACCTGAGGCAGGAAGCCTAGCAGGCCAGGTCTCAATGACCCAGGAGCAGTGCAGGTCAGTGGAGTGTTAACAATGCTGCCTCAGACAGTATTTTGTATTGGCCAAATGTGAAACTTGGGAAAGTCTAAGCCAGATCTGGGCTCTATTTAGGTAGAAGCATCCTGAGAAATTTCCAACCCATCTGGGGCAAAATGGACCAGCTAAATTATAAGTTAAAGTACCACACACAGAATGAAAAGCTGGTATCACTCCTGACGACCATGAGTTACATGATCTCATGCTTTCAGCTCACTTCCTCTGTGGCTAATGTCACATAATGGGGAGTCTGATCACCAGAACTGGGGAGGTAGGATGTAGCTGTTGAATGGACCTCTGCTTGGCACAGACCTTCCCTGGGCTTGTCTACACTGCCACGGTATCTTCAACAGTCTTGCTCTAATGTCTAACCAATCAAATGACCACTGGCAACAATAGCCAGTCCTATAACAGAGCATCTGGGGGATTTGCTTGAAGTTCAGATGTTGGTTTTTATAGGCTATTTAATTTCTCACTGAAAAAAATCATTGTCTTCTTGCCTTCACACCTGGAAATCTCATTTCACCAGCATCTCACCTGGATGACCCACTGCCATCTCAAGCTCACTGTCTCTCACTATGACAGAAGTAGAACATTTCTAAAAAATTTATAAGCAGCTTGGATTCATGTACTACATGTACAATTAAATATTAAAAAATATATTGACTTTGTCCTATTTAGTGTCCTTAAAAACTAACTCCCTTTCCAGACTTCCTGTCTTTACTAACGATATCATTATTTACCTCAATCTCTTAAACCAGGGAACATATAAATCACATACCCTCTAATTACTTTTTAGAACAATGGATTTTAGCATGGGAAGTAACCTTGGCAACCATCAAGTGTGGACCCTTCATTGACAGTTGGGAAAACTAAAGGCCAAGATTGGTGAATTGATTTACCTACGGACTAGTTACTGGTAGAAGAGGAATTAGAATTAAGGTCCAGTTCAGAGCTTTTTCCACTATGACATTCATTGCCTCATTTACTTATTCATTTAAAAATTTATTGAATGTCTCTCATGTGCCAAACACTGTTTTAGGTGCTAGGAAAATCACCATAGCAGCAGTTGTCAAATATATGGCACTCATTGAATGTCAGACATCTTTTTAGGGGCCTTCTAAACGTTCACATACTTAATCCTCACAATAACCCTATGAGATGCATTTTGGTATTATCCTCATTTTATAAACGAGGAAAAATTTCAGGGAAATTTTTTGTTGGAGATCCATAATAGATCCCTAAAACTGGTGAATCCATCCTAAATGCCTCTCCTTGACAGAAGGCTTTTTTAATAAACCTGCCCCTTCCAAACAATTCAACCTTTTCATCAGCATAATGCCATTGAATACTCAGGTCACACTCCTTGACAGACCCTTCTTCCCCCATTATTCCACCTCCCCCAGCCTGAAATGAGTGACTATGACTTACTCAACTCTGTGATAGAGCAGTTGACACAGAGTAGTTGATCAGTACATGGTGGCTGAATAAATGAAAGCATCTGGTGCTTTGTCAATTCAAACCATACCCATTCTGAATTCTTAGCTCCAGTTTTATATCTTTTTGGCAAGAGGGCCACCACAGAACCAATAAAATCAAACATCACCTTAGAATAATAATACCAACCACCACCATGGTTTTTATTAACTCCTTACTATGTGCCACACATCAAATCTTGCGTGCATTTCACTTAATCATAATAAAACAATGCTGGGAGACAAGTATTATTGTTATTTTGGTTTTAATGTGAGGGTTCTGAGGCACAGAGAGGTTAAGTACCTTGCCAGGCTCTCGCAGTTAGTGGAGCTACTCAATCCTGGGGCCTCTATGCTGAATTCTTTCTTGGTAAATACTTACTGATTTTCTGACTTAACTGCTTTGGAAATGCGAGTGAGCACTTCAAAATCCTGCACCTTGACTTCTCAATCGATTTGCCAAGACTGAGACACAGGAATTCAAAATAATTTTGCTTTAATGAGAGCCTGATATAAATTATTATTTCTATCCCTGTTTATACTACATAACTAAAATTAAGAAATGGAGAAAACCTGTAGAGAAAGGGAAATAATGCCTGTTGTATACAGTTTCAGATGGCCTATGCTTTAGATTCAAGAAAATATTTTAATCTTACTTGGGCCCAGTTATCTGGTCCCACCATCCTTTCGCCCTCACCATTGCCTGGAAAAATATTGGTTTTCATAGTCACAAGGGCACATGGCTGCTGCATGAAATTGAACTACAATTATTTAAATTCTGAGTCGGGCTTTTGTGAGCAGAATTTCAGCCCAAGAAATACTTGTTTTGTGAGCAGCCAAATGCAGCTCCATTTGTGAGCCAGAAGCCTTGCTGGACCCACTTCTTAGATCATTTAGGGCACAGCCCAGTTCAGGGGGACCCAGAGTGGTGCCTGCAGACAGCTGATGAGACGATGAGAGGGGCCTGCCTTCTGTATCAGGGCCATCTTCCAGACTTGGACACCGAACATCTGTAACCTTATTAGCCAATGACTTGTCCACATTCCATCCTTAGGACTGCTTCCAGTTGCTGGTTACCCCTTCCTCAGACATGTGATCCAGAGGGTGTCGCTTATCACACAGGTCTCCCCAACAGGCTCCTGGGAACATCACCCAGCTGCAGCTACCTCTGCTTCCCTGTACAAATAATTCTGCAAAGGGCTTTGAGAGAAGCTGCAGGTTTCATCAAGTGTCTCAGTACTAAGGAGAGCTGTTGTGGACTGCCCCATCAGCTAAGTAGTCATGAGGATGCTGTGTAAAGGGGCAGGTGCTTCTGTGACAATGCCATGCACGAGACTATGAAAGGAGCGTGGGCCTTGGAGCCACTAAGATCTGAATTCAAATTCTGCTGCCTCTACTGAGTGTCTGCTAATCAATCACCTTTAGTGAAGAAGCAGAACCATTAGCAAATATTTACTCAGCACCAACTATGCCTCAGGCATACACTATGCCCTGGGGGACATGAGAGCAAGCAAGGTGGACCAACCTTACCCTCACGGAACTTCCAGACAAGTAGAATACAGTGTGATAAATGTGAGGATGTGGCTTCTCCTGGTTTCAGGTTTTTAACTAAAGTCGAGGGACAGTATAACGTTTTAGAGGATTGACACATGTAGAAATATTATTCTCCACAGAGAGTATATGGTAAGAGTCTAATAGATCCCTGCTTTTATGGAGGGGACTGCCTGCTTACCCAGCTCTCAGCTTTGTCCACTCTTTATTTTCCAAGTCCAGGATAACTTCTGTATACCTCTCCCCAGTCTATCTCCATTTTCCCCTAACTTCCAACTATCAAAAATGCTAATGAGTTTATTAATAAGTCTTAATAAACCTATAAGCCTAGAAGGGGTCAGGGGAAGGTGGATCTGGCTTTCCCTGAAGCCCTGCCCCAGAAGGAATAGTCAACAGTCACTGTCCTTCAAGGTTGCTGTGGGATCCTGGTTCTCTACAGTCCCAGCAGAATGAGCATGTTTACCACCCTTGACAGACTTTTCTTCCTTCCCCCATTCCCTTCCATGGCTACACTTTCAGTGTGCTCTGCTTTTCTTCATTACATGGAACAGGATGTTTATTACATGTCAACAGTGTGAGAAAGGGCTAAGCAGCGTAAAGACCCTCCTCCCTGTGCACCCCAGCCACCAGCCACCAAACATTTATCTTCTGCACTCCTGGGGACAATGCTAAGTGTGGGCTGTGGCTTCACTGCTCACCATAGTCGGTGTTTTCAGGCTCCCAGCAGTTTGAAGGCCAGAAATATGGAGCCTGCAAAAGAGCAGAGGTGTCAGGACCCAGAGGCATGCCAGCACTTGGCCCCACCCCCCACCTGGGGGCCAGGGTCAGCCCTTGCCTGGACCCAGTGAGGACGCCACCTTAGGACAGGCTCTGTCCTCATCTCCTTCATGCTGACACCACAGCCCAGCTCTCTCCTGCTCTTAAAACAGCTGAGGCCAGCCAACATTTCAATCTAGGTGTTGAGAAATGAATCTAGGTAAGCAAAATAAATGCAAAAATGAGAAACAGTTTATAGGGCAAAAATTTCTTATCCTGAAACAATAGAAGTCTAACTACAAAAGTCAGCTTGGCACAGTTCCCTGGTCACACAAGCCCCAAGTTCTTTTTATCCTTTTGCTATAGACTGAATTGTGTCCCCTCTCATCCCTTGCCCTGCCCCCAATTCATATGATGAAGCCCTAACCCCTAGTGTGGCTGTATTTGGAGTTTGGAAGTAATTAAGCTTAAATGAGGCCCTTAGGGTGGGGCCCTGATCCCAGAGGATTAGTGTCTGTATATAAGGAAACATCAGCTCTCTCTCTGTCTCTCTCTGTCTCTCTTTCCCCCTCTCTGTCTCTCTGTTTCTCTCTCAATTTCTCTCTCTCTCGTTCTCTTGCTCTCTCATCTCCCCCGCCCCCATGTGAAAACACAATGAGAAGCAGCTATCTGAACACCAGGGTGAGCGTGCTCACCATAAACTCAACCCTACGGGAACCCTGATCTTGGACTTCCAGCCTCCAGAACTGTGAAAAAGAAATTTCTACTATTTGAGCCATGCCCACTGCAGTATTTTGTTATGGCAGCCCCAGCAGACTAAGATACCCTTTGATTCTGTCTGAAGCACTCTGCTCCCAACCCTTTGGTTTTGACCTTGACACAACCCTTATTCTCTGTGCCAGATCTAGGATAGAATCTGAGAACAGGAATGGAAAATGTATGGGAAGAATTAGTAGGTAGTAAATGGGAACTTCACAGCAGCAAAGCAGCTCGATACAGTAGAAAGATTCAGAACTTTGCTATCAGGCTGACCTATGTTCAAATCAAGGCTGTCTTTTCGATTTACTAAGTGCCCCATTAATTCTTGGGGCACCTCAGTTTTCCCATCTGTAAAATGGGTGATATTTGCCCCCCAAAAGTTTTTTTCAAAATGAATGAGGAAACATGTATAAAGTGCCCAACAAATAGTAGGTTCTAGGCTTTTTAGTATTATTTGGGTAGAGCAACAAGTGGCCCAGACAAAAGTTTTCTTGGTTATCTCAGTGCTGATGAGAGATAAGGGTTGCTTCCTTAAATAGCCTGTTTTTTTTTGTTTGTTTTGTTTTGTTTTTTAAATATGGTTCTAATCTGAGGTCAGATGGTGGTGATAAGAAAAGGTTCTTTGGAAGAGGAGCTGACAGGCCTACCTGGAAACGATAAAAGGTGCCATCATCCTTCATGGTGAGAACATGGTCCGAGATGGGAAAGATGTAGCCCTGGGCAGCTATAAGGCTTCCCAAGTGTATTGCTTCAACTGTGGGGACAAGGTGTGGGAGAGAGAAGTAATTAGGAAGCTGTCAGGATGCAGGATTACTTCGCTGAAATGTAGCTTGTGACAGCAGAAAGGCAACTGGAAGTCAACTGTCATCACTCCCAGATAACTGCATGATTGATCGATAACTTTAGGATACTACTGTTTTTGGCTGAAGGGAGACGTCAGTGGTTGGGAAGGGCTGCCATGTGTCTGGGGTACCTTTGGACCCCAGCTCTGAGAGTCTGATATTGTTTTAACTTCCCCTCCCTGACCTAATTTTTCCAGAAGAAAGTCTAGCTTCGCCGTTACAAGCATGAGCTTTGGTGTAGATAAACCTGTGTTTCATTGAGATATTTCACATAAAGTGCTTAGCAGTGGCTGCTGTAGGGTAAGTGCTGGCAGCCATGATTTATATTTTTATTTTCTTCATTTCTTACTATCCTCGCTACCCACAGAGACTCTGGACTTACAGAGCCTTCTCCGATACCACAGTCCCAATAGCGATGAGGAGCGTGTTACCCTTCTCGTAAGGACATAAATTAAAATCTCACTTTTGAGGTGAGCAGCGTAGTGGGCAGTGCCACAGGGAGGCCAATTCGATAAAAAATATTTATATTTTGCCACAGTCAACCTGTTGTTTTGTTACTTTAGCATCGACCATAAGTAGATGCACGTAAATCGTTAAGAATTTATATTTATTCTGAGCAGAGCTAAGGAAAAATATTAAATTTAAATGGTTCTACCACAATGGTAATCTTACATAAATATAAAAGCACTCTTCCTGGTAAAAACTAATTTTTGGACATGGAAATTACTGACATGGAGAGGAGTCTCTAGGAATTATTAAGTTCATAAACTCTGAGGTTTTTAAAGTGACTTGTTTCAGCCTTCCGGGCAAACTTTTGAAGAGGTTGTATATAACCCAAGTGTTTTGTTTATTTAGAACCACCTATTCTTCAGAAGGAACGTACACTTTGACTGGTGGAATCAAAACGAATGGAGTTTTATTTTACTTGCTTAGTGATGACCAGTTTGCTTTTAAAGTCTGCATGTTTCAAGAATCATGGGTCCAACATAAAAGGAAAGTTTCATCACCTGCAGCTGCTACTTTCCCGGGGAAAGTAACTTTCATGTCAGCAATCTGGGAACTGGGACTCTCACTTCATTCTTTGAGCAAAAGGTCTTTTGCTTAGAAGTGTGGCAGATGGGAAGAAGGGAAGGAGGGGCGGAAGTTAGACATGCCTGGCTTCCCAGGGCCTTGGTTTGCTTCGTTTCCGACCTTCTATTCCCAGCTGGTGAATTGTTCTTAACTCCTCCTGCTCAGCCACCTCGCAGGAGCTCCGGCAGTTCCCAACACCTGGGTGTCCTCCCAAGGGCATCGGGGTATAACAGACCTTCATAGACATGACCCTTGTCGTTCTGGACTTGCACAGAAGCTTCTCATACTAGAGTCAGAGGATTCCTGAACCTATTCCCCCACTACTAGCTGGTTCAGTGTTCTCAGATGACTACTACTTCTACTACTGCTACTGCTACTGCTAACAATAATAATAAAATATATGTCAGTAATACAATGATTATTTTAGAAGGGCGAGGAAAACAGGGCTCTTGGAAGAGAAAAGACCACCATGAAGAAAGGTGCTCCTTTGTTTAGCATCCTCATCATCATCAAAAGAAATGTTGACTTGAAATACATGTAACTAAACTGGTAGAGACTTTTTCAGTCCAGTTTTTATAAGTGAAGAATCAGAAGGGAAACACATAGGCTAGTTGGTTTGGGTTCTTTCCTTGAAAGATTAGCATGTGTAGTTTTCCCTTGTGGATTAAGAACTTGATTAGAATTAAGAATTTTCACTAGTCATGAGAGTGGCCATTAATCAAGGTGGTGAAAAAAGCTAGTGTCAATTCCATTAATGACCTGCTTTTCTGGCACTCCGATTTCTGGCAACTACATTTAATCCAACTCTAGGTAAATTGTATTGTTTCATAGTCAATAGCATGTTAAGAGCATCAGATTAAAATACAGGCATGCCTGAGCTGCCATACTGACACCAGCAAGGAATCACAGTTGAAGGTCAGGTACCTAGAAAGGGGGCTTGAACAAATTCTTAAAAAGGATAGCAATGGGAGGCCATTTAATTTGGGGCAAATAGGTAGAATCCCTAAGAACATCAGGATACATTTGTGGATATTTATAAATATGACATGTAGACATTGAGAATACTCAGTTAAGATAAGGAGTGCATAATAAATTCATTAAAGTATTAACTATCAGCACATGGATAACAAAATATACTTATCTAGAATTTTCATGTTTCTAGAACTGCCCATTTTCTAATTATGCTGTAAAAATAAAATTTACTGCTTATTTTCTGGTGGGAGGACAGATCTGAAAACTGTTTTATTGGCCAGGATTTTGTTGTTTTTCCGATAAGGTTTTCCTAATTGAAATGCACAATTAAAGTTGAAAAAAAAAAAAATCATTCCTTCACTTCTTGCAGAAGCAGAAAACAGAAGGCATCTTAGCAAATAATTAAACATCTTAACTGTGGATCAGGCAATCTAATTTTAAGAGTCAGCTCTAGAAGGCCTTTCATGACAGTGCTACAACTTATCTTTAATTGCTGTGGCTAACGAGAATTCATCTCATTTCACATGTTATTGTATTGGGTTCTTTGGCATTCTAAATGGTTGCTCATTTTCTCAAAGGGTGATTTAAATTTAAAAGTGGATATTTAGTGGAGAACATAAATTAATTTTATTTGTAAGTAGAGTGATTCCACATCTTGGAATTCACATTTACAAGCCCAGTACTCAGGAGGGTAGGAGAATCTAGTCTAGAAATGGTGATGGGATGTTTACCTATACCACAGGAGATAAAGTCAGGGTCAAAGGTTAAGTACCTGGGTCCTCGATGGAAAGGTTCTTCATAAGCCACTGCACAATGTCAGTACCTGCAATGATAAAGCAATTCAGCTGAAGACCTCATGGGTGTTAAACCCTGTGGCAGAAGAACCTGTTTACCTAAGAGACTTCAAATTCTAATTAGCACACACCAGGAGAGCTGGGTAATATAGATTTTTCTATCCTGACCAACCCTTTCCAACCATCGGTTCACTTCCATAGTCACGATCTCATTCTTTTCCAAAAAACATCTTCTTCTGACAACTCAGAATAATCTTCTGTCTACATTACTAGGGAGCATCTGTAGGGGACTTCCTGTGAATACAGATTTTGATGATTTCTCCAAGATAGGCTGGTGAAGTCTTATCACGCCTGGCCCCCAGGCTATTTCCTGTGGGAAGAAGCTCTTCAGCGCCCTACCCTTGTTGACAAGGGCTAACTGACACGGGTGACCTTAAGGTTCCTGAAAAGAATCTCTTAATTTCCTCTAGCATGGGCTGACCCAGAAAGAAAGTGCCCCTGTGTCTGTGGGAGAAACGTCTGTTTTCACCTATCCTCTGGGCCACAGCCAGATTCCATTTCCGGACTCCCCTGCAGTTTGGGGTGGACTGGGCTCTGATAGTGGGATGTGAATGGAAATGATGTACGCCCCTTCCACACCTGGACCGTAAAAATTCCCATGTGACCCTCCACAGCTCCACATTCTTTCACTCCCTGTCTGCTGGCTGAAGGGAGAGGACTTCGGAGGCCCAGAGGAGGGCAGAGTCACAATGCCGAGAGAGCCTGGGCTTCTGAACAACCACAGAAATTGATGCCCATTTTGGGCTCTGACCTGATTGACTGTGTGTTGTGTTAAGCTCCAGAAACTTGGGGCTTACCTGTTTTGGCAACTAGTATTCTCTTAACTAATTTAAAATCTTAAGAGTCACAGGGGACTTTTAAAGCTTATTTACTCTAACCCTAGACAGTACATGAGCCCCAGCCACAACACTCTGGATAAGAGGCACCCTAATCTCCACTTAGAAAAACTCTAGTACCTGGGATCTCACAAACTGCCCCCTGGGCAGCCTGTTCCAGCTAAACTGAGATTTCTCTGAGCAGAAACTCAACCCTCTCTGAATTTCTCTCTTTGACCTTAGTTTTGCCCTCTGGTGATGGAAAAACAAACCCAGCCTCCTCACTCTGTGAGTCTCACCAATGCACTATCAACGTCTCCTTGAGTTTTCCCCGCTCTGGGCGAAACGTGCCTGGATCCCTCAGCTGTTTCCTTGCATGACATGCCCTGGAGCCCCTCATCATTTTGGTCACAATTCTCTGAATACGTTCTCTTTTGTTTGCCTCCTTTCAAAAAATGTGACACCTAGGGTACCACAGTTCTTAGGGCACCACAGTTCACATAGGAGTATAGGATTCTAATTTTCTAGAACATTCTGAGCTTCTAATCAGTCCACCTTTGCCACCCCCCAATAATCTCACTTTGAACCAGTGCGGACCTTTGAAGGCGGCTTTGTGGCTTCAGGATGGTGATACGTGATGGAAATCGCGTGAAGGGCAACATTTCCAGATATCTGAGTCCTGTCATGGGTCTGGGGCTTGACAGGAGGCAAACGGACTGCTAACAGCTCTCCAGGGTAGATTCCCAGCTGAAAGACTGGAGAGCTGGCAGAAGGGTTTAACTATTGCCCTTGGCCCGGAAGTAAAGTTTCTTAGAAATTTTACTGGTTGCCAGAAGTGAGACCAGTACAGGCCTAAGTGCCTACATATTTTGTTTTTCTCTGGCTCTCTGGAGGGTCAATGGGCCCTGCACAGCAAACTGCCAGGGCCTGGTCCTACTCTCTGTGAGCTTCCCCCAGGACAAGCCTCCACCGATAGGGCCCTGCAAGTCCCCCAGCCCTCACCCCCATTTCGACCTCAAAAGCAAGACTTCTAAGCTTTTCCCCTACTCTTGCTCTGGGCTGGCATCTATGAGCTAAACTTTGGATCCAAACATTCCTATTCATTCACACTCTTTGAGAGAAAGGGAGAGTATGTCTGTGTGTACTTGTGGGTGTGGGTCCATTTCCTCCAAATTATACAAGTTCAACATTTGTCCTAGGAAATGAAGAACAAAGCAGAAATCAAATAGAACTGTAATCCCAAGTTGGGGGTGGGGAAGAGACTCTAACCTGTTTTTTCCTCAAAAGAAAAATAGTTCTTTTTTGTGGGTTGCCTAGAAACGGAGAGGTTTCCAGCATCAGCAACGGCTCTCCCCCGGGCAGGCGGATTATCTTTCTGCTGAGCTGGCTGAACCATTATTTATCACCTGCCAAGATTGATTACTCACCCTGGGACAATGACAGCCCTTCCTTTCCCCTGTTAATTACTGTCATCATTAATATCCATGTCACTAATTAGTATTCATTCACATTGAAACTCCTTCCTTGCTGTCATATCCGTTTCCCCTGCACACCACCCCAGCCTTCAGCGCCATTGTCTGGGTTTCTACCCCCTTTCGGCTTCATGCGCTCAGTGTCTGGCCTAATTGTCTCCCCAGTCCACCAGGCCTCCGTTTGCATTCACAGAGCTGAAGGATCCCATTTAAGCACTTTTTTTTTTTTTTTTTTGGTGAAGAAGGGAAAATCACAAAGGCTCGTTTCCTTTTCCCCTAGCACTGTGGGCACCAAAGGCCTGGGTTTCCTGTCGCTGGTGCAGCCACCATGAAGTCAGTGTCTTCATCTGGGGATCGCTGTGACTATCCTTAGGCCCTGGTGAAGGCCAGGCTGCTGGCCCTTGTTGTCCTGAGCCAATATCCCAAATCCACAGCCATGCCTGCATCCGGCCATCCCTCACACGCTGCAAACACAACGAGGCCTAGGGCTGCAGACACGCTCAAGCTGTGGGTGTGGGGTATTCTGGGCTTCTGAAGACTAGTCCAGAATGAGCCAGCCGCCAGCCTGGTGGCAGAAAGCAAATCGTTGCATGTTCAGCCCCAGGAACAAGTAAGGAATGGAAATCTGTCATAATATTATGTCCTTTAAAAGACCCACAATTATTACATTGTAGAATCAGACGAGAATATTGCAAATAACCATCAGGAGAAAGGGCTATTCTTTTTCTCTTTTCTCTTTCCTTTCTTTCTCATTTCCTCATTCCCCCAATCACTCT